GCTCCGGTGGTTGGACCCTGCGGGCCAAGGGGAGCTGAGGCAGGATGGAGCGGCCCAGGCTGGGGCTACAGAGCCGCAGCCAGAGTCTGGGGGTCGGCAGGACAAGAAGTTTGAGCTGCACATGGACGTGGCTGGCTTCTCCCCGGAGGAGCTGACAGTGAGGCTGGAGGGCAGGAGGGTGACGGTGACAGGGAGGCGTGAGAAGCAGAGTGCTGGAGAGGATGGAGGCAGCTTCCAGGAGTACCTGGAGCTGCGCAGGGAAATGCTGCTGCCCGCAGCCCTGGACGTGGAGGCTGTGACTTGCTCCCTGTGCTCAGATGGACAGCTCCGCATTGAGGCACCACGCCTGGCCCTGCAGCCCGCAGAGGGGAAAGCCATTCCCATCAGCATCCAGGCGGGAGAGGGAGCCACACAAGGAGACACTGCCGCCAAGGAGGAGAAGGAGCTGGGAAGGGAGGTGGGGAGCGGCAGCCAGGAAACCTGATCCAGGCCGAGGGAATGATGGCAAGCCTGCTGCCCTGGCCCAGAGACTGCAGCATGCCTGTGGTGCATCACAGCCCCACAATCATACCTAGGTGTCCCTCCTACAGCAGTGACTAGGGGCTGTGCAGAGTCTGTAGCCACCTTGGTTTCTGGAGAAAGCTATACATGTCACCAATCTGGAGAGGGATGGGGCTTTGGGTTTCAGTACCACTTTATTGCCAGGTGACATTTATCTGGCTGACTGTATTGCTTATGTGTCATGATGGAAATAAACCTGTTTCCCACATGCCAGTTGTCTGTGGATTCAATGGAAATTGTTTCTTGTCCAATTGCCCAGCTCATTGTTGAGGAGGCAGAAAGTGTCAGTGCTTTGTGTGTAAAAATCACTGATTGAAGAGCATAGTACGGAGAGGATAGAATTACATCTGGTGCAGACGTACCGCATGTCTTATGCCAGCGTAGTCAACCTTTACAGCACCATAAGGAAGGAGCAGATAGGCAGCATAAACCTCTCTGGGGTATTGTTGCCTCAGGAAAAATGTGTAGGAGATCATCCGTCCACATCTGTCCTGGTGTAGTTGTTTTTTTCCAAGGCCAACAGGTGTGCTCCTGCCACTGTGGCAAGGCTGTGGAACGGTGCACAGTGTGTGTACTCCAGCATATACTCCAACAGTCTCTTTTTTCTGCAGGGCATTTGATACGAAAGGTGGAGTAAACGCATGCTTTTTGCCCATGCACAAGACTCTGTCTCCGGGCACATCCAGGTCCTGCTTGGGATTCTTGGTTCTGGAGCGGATGCTCTTGCTCAGAAATACCCCACAGGCCTGCAAGGGCAGCAGCTGCCATTGATCTCTGCCTCTCACCTTCAAGCCAGGCAGACGGCTGAGCTGGTCCCTAGACACTTGGCAGACAGCAGTGTTATTTACATTGCTGCACATAACCGCTTTACACCACATTAGTATACATGTCATAGGTCTGGGTCCTTCAATGTTAGATTACTATTTGTAGGTGAGTGTCCCTACGGTCTTGGAAACTAAATCTGACCTAGGACCTGGACTTCTGGAGGAGACAGTTTGAAGGCTGGAAGATATTGAACCATGTTGTAAAAGTGTAACAGTCAGGACTTGTGAAGAGAGGTCCTAAGAAGAGGTGTCCTATACAAAATGGTTTGTAAGGCAACCGTTGAGAGAAGAAGGGAGGGATGTCAGCACCCACCCCAGCAATGTCTTCCTGATCGACAAATTCCTGACACCCAGGAGCCTGTCCTTTCTTCCCCTGTTGTCAGCGACTATGTTGCAAGGCTTGTGCTTGTCTTCATGGCCCAGCTGCTAGGATGAGGGTGTTTTTAGCTTTCATGAAAAGCAAAAAATGTTTCTAGCCTCAAAGATACAGACAAAAGCTGGAAACGTGGCCTCTAAGGCCCCAAGCAGGGGCTAATGGCCTTCTGAAATTCTCAGCTGGGGGAGCCTAATGGTCCATTGTAGGGGGCCACAATGGGGACGGTGTTAGGTCAGAGCAGGGGCACTCAAGCCCTGGCCTGGCGCGAGGCAACAAGCCCGATTCAGCCTGTGCAGGGCTGCAGCTGCGGCAGCAGGCCCAACCTGGCACAGGCAGGGTCGGGAGTGGGAAACGGGCTGCGGCTGGCACGTGCGGGGCTCCATTCAACGTGGGCCCTTGGTTACACTGTGGGCCCACGGCCTGGATCTGGCCTGCAGACAGACACATCTGCACCACTCATCTGGCCCACGGGGCCAAAAGCTCCGTCACCCTGGGTTGGCACTGCTGGTTCTGTTTAGGGTCCGGCCAACCCCTCTAGACTCGAGGCAGCCCTCGGAAACTGCCGGCTCCCGGCTCTCGCTCCTTGGACAATGGAAACAAGCATGTGCCACTCATGGGTGGCTGCGAGCGCTGCTGGGCAGACGGCCTCTTTAAGCGCGGCAGACTCAGGGTGGCCAGCACAGGGCATGTCCCTGTTTTCTGCTCCTCTGTCCCCTATTCATGCGCCACCCGACGCCTCTAGTCCTCTATTTTTCTCTTCAAACAGAGGACGTCAAGGCGTCCGGTTCCGTCTCAACAGAGAACGACCGGGCTGTCCTCTCCGACGGCCACCGCAACGGGGTGTGGCGCGGTGC